CTTCTTAACTAAACCCCAAACCCCAAACCCCAAAGCCTCGAGAAAAATGGGATCCCCAGAAATTATCGGTACCAGGAGCCATGGTGGGAAGAAGACCACTGTGCTGATGGTCGGCCATATGATGCTGTTCACTGTGTATGCCATTGTTTTCTTCGTGGTAGTGAGCCAAAAAAGCAAGAGCGCAAGAGAGCAAGGGTTGCCCATTTGTATGTTGACCTTGTCCTTTCCTCTCGCTTTTTTCAGACGGGATGATATCTCTACAGATGGTCTGCATAGCTGACATGTTCAAAAGCCCCAGCCATTCCTGCAATACGTTACGAGGCACGTAAATTCACGCTGGAGGACTGCATCCAGGAGAAGGGATCCTTCTCCGGAAAGCCCAGCGCAGAAGTCGACAAAGCATGGCATGATCTCCTGAACAGTAAGTCTGTGCTCTCTACCACGATATTTGCAGACATGCTAATGTAGAACAATAGCTGAGAACATCATCATCGAGCCCGAGATCATGACCCACTATGGCCGCGAAGACATTGGCGTGGCTGTCCCCGAAGGAGACGGCTACCTAGGCACTCTGAATGTCTACCATGAGCTACACTGCCTCAAGCGTTTGCACCAGTATATGTATCCACACTACTACTTTCCTGATCTGACCCCGGAGCAACATGAGATGAATCGATTACACAATAAGAGCAGCTCACTTCTCTCTCCCTGCCTCTTTTCTCCCCAATTTATCACACTTGCATCGAATAACCACTAAATCTGAAACAGAACACTGCATTGACTTCCTCCGCCAATCCTCCATGTGCCACGGAGACATCGGTCTCATTACCTTCGAATGGCACGATAATAGTCGGATACCTGTGGCAAACGCCACAGTGCATCAGTGCATCAGTGCATCAATTGGCAGATGTTAGATGACTGGACTCGTGCTTGCACGGTAGATATGATGAAGCCAAATTGGTTGGTGCATCCGCTATTCGGTGAGCTTTGTCCCTATCCCTTTACTAGACGAACCAAGAAAAGAATGAAGCAAGAGTCTGACTTGCGATATAGGAGTTGCGTATCCAAATGGTGAGGGCGACAAGATCGGGGCGGTTGATCAGCATGGGCATCTAGCAGGCCACCATCCTGGGAAGTAATCACGTTCGATGGGAATTTGACTAACTCAAATTAATGTGGGTTACATCAAGTACATGTATGGAAATATACTCTATTATTTGCTAATTGATATTTCTGATTCCAGGGATGCGAAGTAATTGAAACAATAATCGAAGCACACCTGTGGCCTGAATAACTGCGCAAACATATAAAGCTCTAAAACCCGGTGGGTGTTTACTGCCATGAATTCGGAAGTGCTTTAAGCTACCGAAAAAACTACTGCCGAAGACGATCAGGACGTGATGTGCGAGCCTGAATTACCATAACAGTGGCTTTAGTAAGCATGGTATCCAAATTCAAAAAATGAAGCTATTCCGTGCAAATCTCTCTGCTAAAAGAATGAAGCCATTCCCACTATGCTAATTTCCGTATGCACCCGTTTTGCGGTCAGATTCGGTTCTTAACGCGCAGAATTCGAAGAAACTGATGATCTATGGGGTAGGAATGGCTTCAGTTTACAGTACACGGTATGATGTACTTTCACTGAACAGCCAGAACATCATCTCTACCTTACTAACAATACCACTTTCTAATGAGAAAAGAAAGGTCGAGGCTTCAAGATCATCCACAATGGCTCATTTGGTTTAGGCTTGCAAGAAACATTACACATGCTTAACAATTTTCACACCTAGAGCTGGAATTTCGTAAGTCTTGAACTGAATATCATTAGTTTCAATCATCTTACAGGCTATATGAACGAATCTGATTTTGTTTGACCAGAAATTTAACCGATTCTCCATCATTCATCTAAAGGATAGACTTTCGGTCCAACTGGCTCGGAAATCCGCTTCCCTCCTGGATATGCGGGGCCTATGTACGGTTTTATGCAGTTAGCCAACGAATTGCCTGGTGTAATAACGCAAACTCAAAATTCACCATACTTCGGATGCACCCGCATGTTAGGGGCGAATATATCAATCCGTCGACTCTCCAACCATTCCTCCAGAGAGGCCCAGTTCACACATTCATGCTTCTGCACCCATGTGGGATTGGGAAGCCGCGTGGCGTCGTTCCAGTGGTATGGAAAGATGGCGGTATCAGCGCGGCACATGGATGCCGAGCGAAGAATTTCGATGCAATGCTTTGATCCCAGTTTTAACGGTTATTTTTCAGGGAGGTGAATGCAGGTAACGGAAGAAGCTAGAATAAAACTGACCTGTATGGCCAATCAACATGGCTCTCTCGGCATGGGATTTTTCTGCGTAATAGTAGTCGGCATGGACGGCTTCACGAACGAGTTTCTGTATCCGACGTGCTCAGTCAATTGTGAATGTACAATGGGAAAGAAAGAACATACCAAGCAATGTAGTTCGTGGAAGACGGCCATCATTCCTTGATATCCACCCCCATGACGGAGGGGAATAGAGGTTTGGTTCATTGCTTGCAGCTCATCTTCCATAATGCGTATGTTGTGATCTAGAAGAAAATACGTTGGACAATCTCAATATAAAGTGTACCAGGATGACTTACGACGCAAGAGTCGATACCAGGCCTCATCAACCACTAGACTAGGCTCTCCCACATATGAACTAGCCTTGATATCGCTGGGCTTGTCGTAAATGACTGTGACTTCGATATTGATGTGCTCATGGACAGGTGCTAAAATTGGTTGCTATTAGACACTTCCGGTTCTCTGACAACCCTTCACCATGGATTAGGCACTCACTAAACAATTTAGATTGAACTCCGACCAGGACATTCCCCCAATAGAATATTTGTCCACGACGAAACGGCAAGGCCGATATAGAAGAGGATTATCAATCCATGCATCACCAGGGCTCTCCGTGCCCAGGAGGCGGGGCGATATGGTGAGTGTTGTTGGGATTCCACTTCGTGGTGGCCAGGCTCTCGGTCATTGTAACTAATGTCGAGGATTGGCTGCGTGGGCGACATACTATTTCGATGTTCTTTCTTCAGGTCCTCTGCGTCCATATTGTCTAGGTATTCAGGGGGGCCGAATGTGGAATTGAGAGTGGTTGCAGGTATATGGAGGCGAGATGATCTTCGAGAAGTGCACAATGTGCAATTATGTCTCAAAGTGGCTAATAATGAAAAAGGTCATTTCTCATCATAGGTGAGGGGAAGGAGGGGTTGGAGTGGGCTCTTCATGCGCTGAAGCCATCGTCCTGCATGGTCAGTCGATGATCCTGTGCCAAAGGGGGTAACAAGAATGTCGTGTACATCCAAGACATCTGATGACCGTGCAGAATCCCCTGCCATGGCGTAATAGGATACTGGCTGTGACAAGATGAACTGAATATTCGAATGAGTCTGTGGAGCCTTTATTCAGCATCCATACTTGTGCTCTAGTTTGTATATAAGTATCTCCTCGCTCGCACCTAAGAGGGAGCTTCATCGGGCAAATAACAGTATCTATCATCTGTCAAGATATCTCCACTCGACTCATCTAATTCTATTTTTGAGGCTTATCATTCAGAATGACGCTTATTGCGCTCACCCAGGCGTTGGTCCTTGCCGTAACCCTCGTCAATGCATCCCCCGTTGGCTTGAAGTCTAGGACCGACGCCGACGCCGCCACCGCTTACACTGCCGACAAGCGCTGGGATGCGGATGCTGCCACCGCATACACCGCTGATAAACGTTGGGATACCGACGCGGCGACTGCATATACTGCCGACAAGAAGCGCTCTGGTGCTGATGTTGCCACTGCATACACCGCCGACAAGCGCTCTGAGGTGGCCGAGCCCGTCTATCGCCGCTGGGATGCCGATGCTGCCACCGCTTACACCGCGGACAAATAAATGGTCAGTTTTCAATCCCACATACTACCTTAGAATATATAGAATCCTAACACACAAATCAGCCAGACTCAAAAGTCAACCCTGGAAAGTCAAATGTACGCAGGGGTATGAGGAAGCATGGCTGGCTTGACATTCTAGAAGAATGATCCAGATTGACAATAGTTACAGGCGAAAGAGAGTACTTACTTCTGTGTCTGCCAAAGTGTTCCAATATTCTATGGCTTGCTTTTGCTAGAGTTGCGGTCTGCTTGGCTGGATGGTTTAATCTCGTTAAGGGCCTCAAGAGATATAAATGTCAATACATACAGCCGTCTAGGAGTAGTGGTTTCATTTATTTCGGTCAACAAACCGTCCACGGTAGTCCCTGGCTTATAACTACAATACAGAAGCTCCTCATGAGAGTATTTATTGAGATGGTCTATATGGTCTTGGTAGTTTGGGTACCTGTGTAACTACTTCTCTGCGTTGTCAACTTATCATCTAGTAAATTTTATTTGAAATCAAAGCCGTGTGCAGAAACGCATTGACTAAAACCAGTGACAAAACTACTTTATGAAAGTTCTAGATATGCGTAAGCATAACTAATTCGCTAACCCCGGCCACTGGGACATCCCAAACCAGTACCTCAGCCATCTCCTCCCCAGCCCACCGCAATCGTCAGAACTCCATTCACTATACCCCCAATCCCCTCCCCAGCCACTAACCCCGCTGCCACTGATGACGAATACGTCTCAAACGTCCTCTCCTCCCTCCACTTCCACATGCGTGCCCCCAGTGCCCCCATCAACATCGCAATTCCATACGGCGGCGAAGGCATCGTAAAAGCCAACCCCATCATCATCATATTAGGCAAATATACCTTAGCTGGGAAAGCTCTTAGCATATTCCGCAGTAACACAATCATCACGCCGACGGCTGCGAACAACACAGCGAATCGCCCGCTCGCTTCTGGAATAGCCGACTGCCCAGAGGCTCCAGAGGTTGTTGCGACAGCCACCGCGCGCCATGTCGCGATGGAGGGTCCGCTGAATTCACAGCGGCGGCCTTGAGCGGCGGCGGCATCGGTACTGTTACCATTTGCGCCCTCAGCAATGATACATGGGTAAGCGGTAGTGAAGAGTTTGAAGATGACCGGGGCGACAATTGTGGCGAATAGTGTTCCGATGAGTTGAGCAAAGTATTGGAGCCGTGGTGGGGTTTGCAGAAGAAAGCCCACGCGAAAGTCACCCATTAGTTCTGTCGGAAATATTAGCTCCTATACCCGGGGAGTGAGAAAAAGAAGGAGATAGATAACACACGTACCACAGGCTTTGTTGGCACCGATGTTGGCTAATGCACCACCTAGTAGATTCAGTCGTTGGTAGAGAGACACATCACCGCTGACGGCACCGTGGGTCGCACTGAGGACAATTTGCGAAACGGTTGCGACTGCGGTTAAAGGTGTGGTATCTGAATCCAAACATTGTATCTTAGGGTGCGCAAATTAGATTTCATAAAGATATGGTGATGATTTACCGGTGGCACCAGTCGCCTGTGGGATTCGCGGATAGTTCCTCCTGGGTCAGAATCTCCAGTCTGCCACGATCTAATAGATCTTCATCGATGAGGTCTTGATACATCGGCAGATGACTTTCCTCTTCCCAGATTGGAGTAGGTGCGCCCAATCGAAATTGGACGGTCGGGTGGATAAAAACGTTGGTCGGTGTAATCACATCGACCACATCCATCAAGTCAGCAGGTAGAGACCATTCGTGTGAGCGAATTGCTCGAATCCCAGACCCCGGCTGCTCGAAGACCCAGTATTCGGTTTGGAGTAGCTGCTCAAGACACGAGACAGGCATAGCAAGATCCAGCCAGTCACCGGCGGGAGATATTGTGATATTGGCCCCTCAGGGGTTGTAATTCATCCAGCCAGGCTTGGATCTTGGGAATCGACTCTGGCACAGGCCGTATGAGGTGCAGAACTTCTTGGGCTGAGAGATGTCTTCCATAATCTGGATGAGAAGGGTCAGAGACTGAAGAGGTGTGTGAGATATGCTTATTCCATAGGATACAGGATGTCGGCCTTGTAGGAGCCTCTCCTCGAGCTCAGGTAATCGATTCTGGACGAGCCCAATTGATACGTCAACCATCTCGTCCGGGTGAGCTCGCCTATGCCGAGTCCATTCGGGCGGAATCTTGGTACAGCTTGTCAGCTGATAGTGTGGGATGTTGGCAACTGCCTCCCCTAGCAATGCCCAGAGTAAAAGCAGAGCCCACTCCATTGCATAGATTATGGCTGATACACCTCACATCTCACATCTGTCGTCTGTCTTCTGAATCGTTATTGAAAGATACGAATTACGCCAAGCACCAAAGCCTGTAAGGTCACTCATGCACGGTCATTCCCATGCATCAATGCATAAAAAGACAAGATTACCTCTTTTTTCCTTCGGAAAGAATAAAGGCTAGTATGAATATGTTATTTTCACTGTCATCCTCTTTCTCCTTGGCAAGGAATGTGATGAGAGGTTCTGACTACGAGGGAAGAAGTGATCAACCAGATAGCAAAAGGTGATGTTGATGGAAGATACGAAACTAGCTACTGTACTGAAGCCTGTCTATATAGCTTCGCACCACAAAGCAAGCCAGATTCCATCTACCAGAACACATGAGAAGCATCTCTGCAGACACATAAAGAGAACGCCGACGCGCCAAGCTGCGCGTTTGCCGGCAAGTTGTCTGCCAGAGGAAGAAAGAGAAAGGGAAAGGAATGCCGCACGGAGAGGTCTACTAACTGCATGGGGCGACAGTGATCTCCTCAGAATGCATCAAAATGTCTAGTCATGAAGTTGATGGTCTATTTCGTTCCCTCTATTTCTGCTGTTTGTAGACAAGGTCTGCCAAGCTGAACCCGTCCAATACTGCCAATTTGGCCATCATGATGCTAAGGAAGACAAGGTGAATTTCCGTCTGGGTGTTTCGACACACTTCAACTCCTCCTCCACCACCACCCACGACATCTACCTCAGTCTCTCAATAACTCGCGACTCAGATCTCGGATGGACAGCCATCGGCACCGGGTCTCTAATGGCAGGCTCCCTGATGTTTATCCTCTATGGGGATCCCGAATCCAGTGAGAATCCCGTGCTAAGTATCCGAACCGTCGATGGCCATCACCAGCCTCGCCTGATCACCCACGACGACATGGGCGGAGCCGATCTTCGCCTTCTCCAAACCTCTTGGATGTCCGCCTTGCCATCCATGCATCATGAACAACACACCATTGCTAAAAGTCAAAGGCCTCAGTCCGCCCACTTGTCCTTGATCTGCTACTCCTGTGCTCGCTGGCCTACGTCGCCCATATCGCCTCTGTCATCCTCACAACCCTGGATAAGGGCCTGGAACAACCAGCAGAAATTCCCCATGTACAGCTTTGACGCACCATTAGACATGTATGCACACCACGTGGGCAATGGTGGCTGGGTACGGTTCTACGTCGACATGGCCCGCTCTCTGACACAGCCGGGGGACTACTATCCCTCATTTCCACCACTGCGGCCCAATATCGAGGCTTTGGGCGCCTCGGACACTCCGATCGGCATTTCCGGCATCGCTGCTACAGCAGCGAACACCTGGCGCAAGGTTAAGGCCACCGCGCTCTTGCAAATGACCCACGGGATCATGATGGCAGGTAGCTTCCTCTTTCTTCTTCCTGTCGGCGTCCTCGCTTTGCGAAGTGGCTCGCCACGCTCGTTCACCTACCACTGGATCTTGCAGGGGCTGGCAACTACTTGTATGATAGTCGGGGCGGGCACCGGTATCGCCTTGAATCAAGCGCACGAGCACGGTCACAGTCACAACAAGCGCCATGATTCCGATTCCGCGAAGGCATCGGCGATCTTCAACACTCACCAGTTCCTCGGTGGAATGATTGTGGCGTTTCTGCTCATACAGATTCTGCTAGGCTGGTGGCATCATGTTACCTTTGTCCGAATCCGCGCCCGGACATGGGTCTCGTACGCTCATATTTGGGTGGGTAGAATGGAGATGGTCGGCGGGTGTGCGAACCTTTTGATTGGCATGGTATTGACTGGGTGTGACTCGTTGGGCATCGAGATGGTGGCGGGATTCATCCTAATGGAGGCGCTAGGTGTGACATTTTGGTGCTTTTATAGACAGCAATTGGCTGCCAGAAAAATGAGTAATGCTTGACAGATGGGGCTGAATGTTGCATACAATATACAGATAGTTGGCCTACTGTCCAAGGATTAAGTGATTGGGTAGAAACTCGAGACCAATTTACCCCTGGATGGAGACAAGCTTCTTCCCTCGTGCAATTACTACTTCGTGAACTACCCGAGCTCCACAAAGTTGAAGGGTCGCATTCGAGCCAAAATCTAAAGCAGGGATCGACAGGCTACCCATATGAATACTTTGATATGGATAGTTAGATGAACAAGTTGCGAGGAGTAGCTTAAATGGCCTGCTAAATTCAATCACTCCAGGAAGGTCAACTCAGCCTTGGTGCACTTTTTATGATAAGTCACTAAGGAAAATTGGACGATGCTAATGGCCAATGTTAACCAATTCTTTGTTTCCGCCTCACCCAAACCTCTTGGTCCGTACTTCCAAGTGCCGATGAGTCGCGCAGCTGTACCTCCCACACCTTGAGTGTGTAGTTGCCGCGATCAGCACGCCCAGAGAATAAATCAAATGACCAGCCATGCTTGGGACATGTGAGACCTGCGCTGAGCACGATGCCGAAGTCTTCAATATCAAAGAGGTGGCCTTGTGAAAGTGGGAACGACGAGTGGGGGCATTGCTAGAATGGGTGAGCTCAATGCTTCCAATTGGAAAAACCGTTTGACTTACATGATCAATGGCATGGTATTTGCCCTTGTATTTGAACACCAGGACTTGGTCCTTCAGTTCTCCTGGTAGGTCAATGTCTTCAACTCGCTCTATGGCGTCGTTTGTCTTGGGAATATTGAAAGCTTTGCATCTTGGCACAATCCGGGCATCGTCATCGATGCTCGGAAACTCGGATGCAAGACCAACAGGATGCCAGGCTGCGGTTGCCCGTTTGAAGGGATTCATTGCTAAGGGCGAAAGGTTCGTGTCCGTTGCTGTCGGGAGAAATCTCCCACCTCCGCCCCACAAATTCCTGTGGGGACTTCCACAGCCCGATATTCCAGACGGGATATATACAGAACACGGATTGGATGGGCAACTTAGTAGCTTACAATACGTGAATGAAAGTGTTATGACTTCTGAGGTTGCACTTCAAGCTACTCGGACAATCTTTCACACTTTCGGATATATCAAGTCCTCTTTCTGCAGTTTTACATACCCCTTTTTCCAGTGGCCAAAGGAACCTTTTTTGTGTTTGACCTGGATCCTACTGGGTGTTTGGCTATTCTATCGTAAGGAAACATGCACATCGAGTTCTTAGCAGCAGTTGTAGACGATCATACAACAGAGATGGAAGCGAAATGAGAATCATAATCGTAGCGTAGGACATTTGGAGTGTGGCATACGTAGCTTCGGCTAAATCATTTCACACACATAAAACCGCAACCTTCGCGAGCACGCTCGCAAGCCTTCTTTAGAGCCTGCTCCTCAACGTCGGTCCATTTGTATGTCAGCTCATCCCATGGCTTGCCAGACCGGAATTCCTCACGGTGCTTCTTGTGGATGGATTGCAAACGGCCCACCTCACGTGGATCACCTGTACCGGAATAGACTATGAAAAGCGTACAAGCTGGGAGAGAGTCGTAAATTCGCGAAATGTTGGAGACGGTCCGGGAAAGAGTATCAGCCAAGACGTCAGGCCGCGGAAGATCTGTCGAGTCCCCATTGCCAGAGGTTGTGGTCGGCGTTGTTTCTTCGGGAGGAGGGAAAAGAGTTGTGGATTCGTTGGCGTTGTTTGGATCAGGGAGGCGGCTGCACCAACCGCGAAGATATTCAAGATCACGAATCCGAGCCCAGGCAAAGTCAACACCACCTCCTGGAATAGAGGGATGGGACTCGTCTCCATTGATTACCGCGGAGACACCGCTAACGACTGCATCGTCATCCAGGCATCCAATCGAGACAGTTGCCTGAGCCCCAAAGCCACGTTCGGGGTTGCCCCAGTCAACCACAGCTCCTGTTCGTTCTTCTCCAGGCCGAGGGAGATGACTAGGCCGAGTAGAGCGTGATAGTCGACGGAATATGCTCTCATTGGAAGAATCACTGGTACCCCATCGCTCGCCTTTCTCGCACTTCAACTTCACAAGCTCAAGAACAGCACGGGCGTCCTCAACGGAGTCATGCCCGGCCATTCCGTTTTGTATCTGCTTGTTTTGGTACTTCTGGGTGAGCCATTTCAGGCTGCATTTGAGTGGCGGACCACGTGGGTGTGGGTAAATGATGCTAGTATCGACAATGAACGGGTGGACCAGTTTGAGTGCTGTGAGGTCGGAATTAAGGGAGTGTCCTACGAGTATCGCACGCGGCGTGAGAAGAGTCAAGAGCCTTTGCTGGATATCACGAAGGGTGGTGGTGACGGGCTCGAGCATCTCCGGGGTAATTCCGGAGTAACGTGTGAGATAGTTGATCACCGGCCGTGCTGGTTTGACTAGTTCATCAAGGACCACCTCGCCGTCCCAGCCGACCATGCTGATGCGTGTGAGTTCGGACTGACCTCCCTCTGTAATACACATCTCACAGTCAAGCGCAAAAATATCTCGACCAACAGTCACACTGCCACTCTCAATTTCAATATCAGGTGGTAGAGCGGACTCCAGGGTTGGAACTTGAGTATCCACCCATCCATCTTCCACCGACTGACTGCCTCGCTGACGAGCCTCCATCTGGGAAGACTTTTCCTCATCGGAAGAGAAGAAAACAGGGTGCAAGATAAAGTCATTTTCCAGTAGATCCTCGCGTGAAGTGACAAAAGCTGTGATTGGTGTTCGTTTCGGAACGAAGCCTTTCTCAACCTTTGCGGGCCGTGCGCCCTTCGCACGGGAGTCATCATTTTTTGTCTTGGGGGGCGAGGACATAAGAATCGCCTGTAGTGGTGAATGGACCTTGTTGTATTTGTTGTCGCCTGGCGCCTTGACAGGCCAGATATGGGGAAACATATCGGCCAGGGGCTGAAGTGGTTCAGGGAGGTTTTCCCGTGTGATAGATCGAGGATTGAAGCGATGCGAGCGATCCGGCAATGGGAGGCCCTGCTTCCATCTCTCGTAATCAGCAGCGTGTTCGTCTTTAGGTACCTCCTCGGTGGCTTCCGGCGCATTGATCTTGGGCTCCTGTGTTTCTTGCTCCCCGGTGACTGATGCACGTTGCACAGGAATTGTCCCATCAAACATGCCCATCTCGAGGCCAGGTACCATCAGTACAACCACCTTGCGCACATGGCCAGAATGCTTCACGGAGATCCATTGGGGTGCGATACCATCGGCGAAGCAATAGAGAAGCAACCCCTGCAGATCGGCGATTCGAATAGGTGACACTAATTTTCCATCGACGTATGTGAGATCTGGGTATTTGACTTTCTCGCCGTCGACTCTTTTGCGCTTTTTTGACGCATGGCTGCCGTTCGAACCTTCGCTGATCGGGTTATCGCTCTGCAACCGGGACAATGTATCGGCGACACCGAATACCTGAGCTGTTGGTTGACCAACCGGGTCGTCCGAGCTAAGCTTTCTCTTCCTCTCTTTTCCCATGTTGTCTTTGGATTTGCAGTTTCCTCGCCGCACAGCATCGCGGCATGGAAATTCATGATGATACGCGATAAGGTCACGTGCTGCTGTTGATTGAGATCACGTGTATATCGGATAATATGTGTCGCAGACTTTTCCGGCTTACATACACCACACGGCACGCCAGAGGCGCCAGAGACGCCAAACGATCTGATAACCCGAATGGAAATCTGGGGCTTATTTTCGGTATCCATCACGCCATTCTTCTGACAAGTCTTCTTCGCTTCTTGACTTTAGGCTCGCCTTGACTGCTCAATCTTGCCTTCGAAGCATACCTCTCATCGCCGATTCCCGACTTTGCCATCAGTTCCAGTTGTCTCATTCTTTCACACATCCAACATGTCGACACTCATCGAAATCACGTCTGAGGCCGACTTCTCCTCGCATCTTTCTTCCCTATCGCCGTCTGCATTAGTTGTCCTATACTTCCATACTCCATGGGCAGCCCCGTGCGCGCAGATGGGCGCAGTACTCTCAGCCCTCGCTTCGCAGTACCCCGCCACTACCCCGCCCACTATCTCGTTTGTCAGCATCAACGCCGAGGAGCTACCTGACATCTCGGAAGAGTATGACGTTTCAGCCGTGCCGTTCGTTGTGTGCTTACGCAGCGGCCAAATATTAGAGTCGATCAGTGGAAGTGATGCCGTCAAGGTTCGTGACGCTGTCGAGCGCCACGCTGGCCGCGGAAATGTCGCGGGTGCCGTCGGTCCGATGGACGGTGTGAAAGCCAACATTCCTCCGCCGCTATCTGCTGTTGCTCGTGAGGATGGCCCCTTCACTGCTACTCAGTCTCCTGTTACCGCTGCTGAGCCCCCTTCTGCTGATGCGGCTAATGCAACCGCCGTCGCGTCTGCCCCCACCCTGACACCCGAACAATCCCGGGAGGCACTATTTGCCCGCCTTGAGCAACTGGTCAACGCAGCATCTGTCATGCTGTTCATGAAAGGAACCCCGAGCAGCCCACAATGCGGATTCAGTCGGCAGCTGGTTGGAATTCTACGCGAGCGTAGTGTCAAGTACGGCTTCTTCAATATCTTGGCCGATGAGGATGTGCGCCAGGGTCTGAAGGAGTACGCTGAGTGGCCAACTTTCCCTCAATTGTGGGTGAACGGGGAATTGGTGGGTGGCTTGGATATTGTACGTGTTCCGTCACACTCCACTTCTTTGATTCGATTATTAACCCTATGGTATAGGTCCGTGAGGAAATCAACAGCGACCCCGACTTCCTCAATGATCACTCAGTTAACAAACCCACCGCGGCTGCCTGAGTGGTTGGTTGATCGTTGCACGATACCCATGACCCCCTGTCTCTGGGGCTAGATGCTAAAAAGTCTAACATAATGATAAACGTTTTTGTCTTCATACGGCTTATACGCATGTCTGATCATATCTATCCTTCGCAATGTTGCGGGACACGTCCTTGCTATAAATTGGAATAACCAGCGTCGAATCAAACCAGTACATTGTCACAGAATATCCCTGTGGGCCATGCCAGATTCAACACATCCTCTTCAGATGCTTGCACCGGTAGTTCAACTTACCTTGTACCGCAATGACTATGTTGAATTACTGCACTGCACCTCCACTCGGGTCTCAAGAATATCAATACAATAAATTTACAACGTTTGATTCTATGTACATATGTAGGCATGGATCATGGGCCCACAACTTGGAACAGCCCAAACTAACAAAACATCACTTTCGTATATTCGATCAACTGCTGGAAAGAAGGAAATGATGCCAACTCTTGGGCACGATTCAGATATTGGGTCAATCGATCTTCATATTTTGTACTATACAACCTTTTGTGTTGTAAGCCTCTCTCTCCTCTTTGCCCACCCTCTTGACCTCTTTATTTTCCTTATATTTCACTCCTTGTCTAGTTGTTGCCACTATTGTTACCCGCCAACTCTTTCTGTGCCTTTTTCGTCCAAACATACGGATGCTGATTCTTACAGACAGCAAAGCGGGATAGCAGAGCATCCGTATCGACATATGCGCCTGCTAACCATCGAGACCCCACGCTGGCATTGAATTGGCGGCGGGCATGAACGATTCTTCTGTTATCAAAGATGACACAATCACCCGGGTTAAGCTTGAGCTCAAAGATGCTATTTGGATTATCAATAATCGAAGTGAACTTCGCAAGCGCATCTAGTAGCTTGTTCACATGCTCAGCATCATGGCTATTCGGGAGGGGAGACTGAAAGGGGGGCGAATAGTTGACATGGCGCAGCTCGTCTGTGTCGGAATCATGCTCAAAGACGGGTCGTTCGTTGTAGTAGATGTGGTCCTCGTGCCTGTACTCGTACCCCAGCCGCTGCTCGCTTAGCACTTGATACTCTTTTGGGTATTGCTCCTTCATGAGTTTCGCGGCCGAAAATGTGTCGGCGAACAGTGACTCGCCTCCCGAGCAGGAGTTCTGCAGACAGTGGAGGAGTTGGTATCCGGGTGGCTCGTTCATATACATCAAGTCCATGTGAAACCCAAGGAACTGGTTTGTATATGCGACATTTGTTGCCTCTGGGACGGTGCGCACGTCGAATGTTGATCCGTAGAAGGTGTTTCGTAGTGGTCCCATTCGTGTTGCAATGGCTTCAACCATCGATCGTGAGTCTGGAACATCCTTCACAAAAATAAGGCCCAGACGCTGCAACTGGTGCATCGCAGTGGCAAGTTTGGAATTATCGGTGATATAGTCCGGGTAAGACACCCAATGTTGACTTTTCTCCATTTTAGCCTGTCCCCACATGATCGGTTTGGAGTTCACGCTCCGATGCTGATCATGAGTGTTGAAAATGGGATTCTTTAGAAAGTCACGGGCCCAGGTTGATTCGTGTACAGTCTGTGACCCCCCAATGTCTTTGTCCCACCGGATTGATAGCTTGTTCCCATCCCAATTAACCCAGCTTGGAACAATGTCCTTGGGAATGTCACTTGTGCGGAATGAGCGCTGCTTCGAGTGTTGATCCTTGCACACTACACACTGGCATGAATCGCGCAGGTAAGTATATGGCAATTTGAGTGTTGTGTATTTGTCCATATGCAAGTACAATTCCTCTTTTCCAGTCCAGATCGACTCTTTTTTGCCCACTTTTAGGATGCCATTCCCATGGGTTTTTCTTGTCACCACCTCGGGGGTGAGGTCTGGCACGTCCCCCTTAGAGTTGCTGGGGTCTTGTGGTATGGGAAGTGGATGGTCAATTCCTGGGGCGAGAGATTCCAATTTGTCGTGAGAGTCTGGCTCTACGGGGCTGTTGAACCTACTCGGGGTAGCTATGAAGTTACGGCGCGGGGTAGAGTATAATAAGGCCCTTGGCAATTGCCAGAAGGTAGCTGAAGCTCGGAGACGATGCATGAAGGGCCCGTGAACCAGTTAAGAAGAAAAGGTAATCAGTGAAATGGCAGAGAGGGAGAGCAAAATCTACCTCGCGGAGCACGCGGGACAAATGGAGGGAAGCTATAAGTTACCTCGGCTTCAATAGTATGCGTTCCTGCCTGAGGCAGTAAATTAATACCTCAGGCATACTATTACACCTCAGGCCAATATTTATACCTCAGGCAAACATAGTTATCATTCTTCGCCAGGGCCAGCCCGGAACTTACGTAAATTGCCCAATTGACGTTGTTGTTGTTTTTTTTTAAACATTCCCAAGGTGAACTCAACGACTCAACATGGGTCTTCATGCTTCAATATTCTTAACCTAACCCAACCACCATACAGACATCTCTAGTCTGTAAGAGAAAGCACTTTCAACTCATGTCGGCCGGTGGCGAACATCTCAAAGATGAAGGCACCAAGCGACAGGTCGTATTGGCCGGCGGGATTGCAGGGCTGATCTCGCGGTTCTGTATTGCGCCGCTAGACGTCGTGAAGATCAGACTGCAGTTGCAAATCCATTCGCTGTCAGACCCTGCGTCCCATAATAGTGTCAATGGGCCTGTTTATAAGGGGACATTGTCCACTATGCGGACGATTATGAAGCAAGAGGGAATCACTGTACGTTGAAAATATTACCTTGCTTCCCGACATTAATGTCAATATACTAACTGGGATTTGTTCTCACAGGGCCTTTGGAAGGGCAATATTCCTGCCGAAATGATGTATGTCTGCTATGGTGCGATGCAATTCACCGCGTATCGAGGAACAACCCAAGCCCTCGCCCAACTTGGCTCCTACAGACTCCCCCAACCTGTCGAATCCTTTATTTCCGGTGCAGTGGGAGGCGGATGTGCCACGGGAATGACATACCCGCTTGACCTCCTCCGCACGCGATTTGCCGCGCAGGGCCCGGACCGTGTGTATAGCTCGCTTCGCGCCTCGATTGTTGAGATCGCTCGGCAGGAGGGCGCACCAGGATTCTTCCGGGGGTGTTCTGCCGCTGTGGCACAAATTGTGCCATACATGGGACTCTTTTTCACAACATACGAGGCGGTTAGACCAGTCATGACCTGGGAGGATCTGCCGTTTGGTACAGGCGATGCCGCAGCCGGTGTGGTGGCCAGTGTACTGGCTAAGACGGGTGTTTTCCCCCTAGACCTCGTGCGAAAGCGCTTGCAGGTACAGGGTCCAACAAGGACCCGTTACGTTCATCGAAATATCCCTGAGTACAACGGCGTCCTCCGAAGTATTGCCATGATTGTTCGCACCCAGGGTGTGCGTGGTTTGTACCGCGGCTTGACGGTCAGTTTACTCAAGGCGGCACCGGCAAGTGCGGTGACGATGTGGACCTATGAGCACACATTGAAGGTTCTTCAAGAGCTCAATGTCGCTGCTGACAGTTGAAGGGAATCTTCGACTTGTATCACTAGTAATAATTTTGCATGGATCATGGCGTTATCACTAGAGGGTTCAAGGTTTGGTTATACAACAAGGGGAAAAGTCACATAATACTTATTAATTTGATTTGATTTTTTGATACTTTTTTTCCGTCCTTCGACTTGTCGATCAAATTCAGGGCTTCGTCAATCGAATGGACAGATCTCCAGGAGAGCAGGAACGGGGCAAAGGCGCCATACAAAGACAGTAAAGCAGATTCTCGGAGATACCGATGAAACTCTTGAAAGGCTTGTATTTTCAGATATTTCCCCCATTGGTGTTCTAGCTAGAATACAGTGAAGGCGACTTGAAATTTGTAAAATATATATAGTGTAGCGTGGTGTTTCTCTGATCAAGTAGACTTTATATATTCACACAGATTTGCAATGCATCCACTTGCAATTTCGCTTCAATACTGGAATCTTTCTCATGTCTGAACCTATGAGATTTAACTTAGGTCGCGGTTTCACCACCGACCTCATTGCAGACACATGTCTCATACTGCGCTTGAACCAAAGAGGCTAGGGGAAAAGATAACCACAGCGGGCAGTGTTCAATCAGCCGTTTTCGATATCAAATTGGTCACTGGGAGAGTGTTTGCTTCTTGCCCTGACACTTGGGTTGGTGATGAAAAGCCCATTCTGGCATCAACCAGCAGGTATGCCGGGATATCCGACTATTCTTTGGATGATGCTGTTGACTCACGCCATATTCTAGTGTGGACTGGGAGCCAGAAGCTATGATGCAAGCCGTAACTGAGCTGGGGTTTGCACACCGTCATCTCCTTTGTACATCGCTTGCGCTATACTTTGATGAAACCGGTCAGCTTGTGGAATGGGGCAGACCTCAGACATTGTTAACCACGCGATCCGAGTTCCTGGGTTCAATTGTGCTAGGCAAGAGGCTAATGACGAGCTTTTCCTGTAGGCATTCTTATAATATCGTGCCCTTTATTGACGAGGAATGGTATCGTATCAAATGGGATTTTGGGACCAATAGGATGATTTGGCGCCATGGTTCATAATAGATACTAGAATTCTGCATGTATTGAGACAAGTTTGATGGGAATCTCCAGCTGAACAGCGTTGCCATTGTTATTATAAGTCTGACCTGGAGTGCTTCCACGTTAAAGAGATCAGCTAGTTTTGTGCCGACATCTTCTCTTACACAAATCTCCCCACAACCTCATCTTCATTCCCATTTTTATCCCAAAACTTGTCAGAAAAATTCATCATGCGAGGTGAGGTATGTATTCTCTGCTATTTTACTAGACTGATGTGTCTATGGCGTTAACCCGTCTATACGCTTCCCCACAGCAGGCTACACTGGCTCTCATCCACTCAATACTCAAAACCAAACCAAGACAAGAAACGCTAATATACACTTCAACCTACTAGATCTGTCATATACACATTGGCCAGGCCGGCACGCAGCTCGGTAATGCTGCCTGGGAACTGTACGTCTCTTCATTGCCTAGTATCCCGATATGCCCGCTGATCAAGATATAATACAGGTATCTACTTGAACACGGTTTGAAGCCCGATGGCTTCACCGATCCAGATGCTACCGACGAGGCCGCAAAGAACGGATCCTACGAGACTTTTTTTACTGAAACATCCAGCAGCAAATATGTTCCCCGTTCCATCTTCGTCGATCTTGACCCATCGGTATGTGACGGACCACAAAGCTATCAAAAGGCATATCAGCTGAATAAACTGTGCTAGCCCATCGATGAAATCCGCACTGGCACCTACCGTGATCTTTTCCGTGCCCAGCAGCTGATCAGCGGGAACGAAGATGCTGCAAACAACTGTATGAATCAAAAGTATTCGAGCGAAAGCCAGTAACCCAGCTAACATGCGGCAGATGCCCGGGGCCATTACACCGTCGGTAGGGAAATTGCTGGAGCCGTGATCGATAGCATTCGTTATGTGGCCGGTATGGACATGCTAACTCGAACCTCAACCCTAATTTCTCTCAGCTAACATCTTCATAGAGAACTGCCATGCCCTGCAGGGCTTCTTGATTTTCCACTCCTTTGGTGGTGGTACAGGGTCCGGTTTTGGTTCACTGTTATTGGATCATCTGGCCAACATGTATGGGCGCAAGTCCAAGCTGGAATTCTCAATCTACCCTTCTCCGCGTACATCGACTGCTGTGGTAGAGCCCTACAATGCCGTTCTCTCAACCCACAGCACGATTGAGAACTCCGATTGTACCTTCCTAGTCGACAACGACGCCGTGTACGATATCTGCCGACGCAACCTGGATATTCCTCGTCCCGGATACGAGCATCTCAATCGTCTGATTGCTCAGGTAGTGAGCTCCATCACATCCAGCTTGCGGTTCGATGGTGCACTCAATGTCGATTTGGCCGAGTTCCAGACCAATCTTGTCCCGTACCCGCGCATCCACTATCCACTGATCTCGTACGCTCCGGTAATCAGTAGCCAGCGCAGCTCTCACGAGAGTTTCAAGGTGCAGGATCTCACCTTCCAATGTGCGTGGATAGTATTTCAACGCAGTGTGTAATTCTGCTGACTCGGTCATTAGGCTTTGAACCCAACAATCAGATGGTGAACTGCGATCCACGAAAGGGAAAGTACATGGCTGTGGCTCTACTCTACAAGGGTGACGTTGTACCCCATGACTGCACTCAGGCTGTCCACGCCCTCAAGACTAGGGGCACTTTCAGTTTGGTTGAGTGGTGTCCCACCGGATTCAAGTTGGGCATCAACTATCAAAAGCCTATGCGTCGTTCGAACGATGAACTTGCGTGTGTCGACCGTTCGGTTAGTATGTTGTCTAACACCACCGCGATTGCGGAAGCATGGAGTCGTCTCGATCACAATTTTGACCTTATGTATTCCAAGCGTGCGTTCGTCCACTGGTATGTGGGTGAAGGGATGGAAGAAGGCGAGTTCTCTGAAGCCCGTGAGGATCTTGCGGCTCTTGAGAAAGATTACGAGGAGGTGGCTCAGGATAGCGGCCCTGTAGTTGTTGAGTACTGATTTTGCACTTGTCTCGTTGCTGCTTCCAACACATTGAAATTATTATTGATATGAGCCGGGTCTGTGTGACATGGAATGATCAAGGATTCCCGCGGCCTACTCTGGCTTTCTATGCAAAAAGTCGTTGATCCTGCTAGACATGCAGTTTTCTCACAATTTTACATGGAGATGTGATGGATTGAACACAGGTAGAGAATGAACGATTTTATTGGTCAAGAATGAACCTGAATGCGAATATATGATCAATAGGCCGCCAGAGAATAATGAACAAAAGCTTGAAGGCCGATATGGGGATATATGTATGATAGAAAGACAAGATATAGTTCTGTTAAGACACGATGCGTCACAATGTATGAAAAAGGGAAAGATAAATATGAGAATAGTGTATGTTCAGTGAATATGGCACGATATTGAAAATGACCGCATCTCAAATCAATATGGGTGCTCCTTGGCACCAGGGACTGTGGCCGGTGGCGGAGGAGTAGGCTCATCGACGCGGCCTTGCTCCATCAAGTCATCGCGATCGTGACCTACGCTGCTGCGGTGTTGGAAGAACCGGTTACGGCTGAGCGATGACTGGCCACTACGGAAGCTGTGAGCGTCGGTCGACCGGCGACCGTCATCATGATTGGAGGGAGCGCTCATGTTGGAGGGGCGACGATGCCGGGAAGAAGATGTACGGCTCTTGCGCTCCTCCTCGTCCTCGTTCTCTTCCTGGATGCGGCGGTCTGCAGCATCGCGGTTGGCCGACCGGACGACTTCACCGACGACCACACCCCGATCCTCAAACACATCTCCCATAATATCGTTGGATGCCATGTTGGACATGCCCAAGGAGAAGTCGACGTGTTTGTGCTGTGAGACAGACGGGCCGCGTGCACGGGCATTGGCAGTGTTCATACCCTTGCGAAGAATCGATGGGTGACGGATAGCGCTGCCGCTGCTGGATCCGGTATTCTCTGGCAGGTGGTGAGATTCTTCTGAGATGGGGACTGGGTCGGCATCGATAGGGGCTTGCTGCTCGGCAGAGCGTGTATTGCCATAGTTGACGTGGAACGGAATGTCGAACTTGGCACCTTGGAGGTTCATGCGTGGGCCCTCGATGCCGATTTCCTGGAGGGCGACCATGAGCATACATATGAACTTGTTGCGGCGCTGCAAACGTAGGCCCTCGTTCTGCCAGTTGGACTTGTAGAAGAAGACGATGTTGAGTGTGAGCGAAAAGTTCTCGGTGACGGCACGCATTTCGGTGAGGATGTTGCTCTGGAAGTCGCGTTTCTCGCTACGCACAAACTCCAACAGGCGCTGGCGCAGGGAGTCGAGTTGGTCGATGCTGGTGCCATACTTGATAATGATTGGAACCGCCTCGGCAAGTGCGCCCGAACGGCGCTGATTGAGGATGAAAAGGCCATTGAGGTAGCTATTTGGGGCCTGCACGACATGGCCTTGCATCTTCTTGAACTCGGTGTACAGAAGAGTAATCTCCTTCACAAAGTAATCATCACCAAGACCGGAATCTCCAGCGTTACCGTAGATGGTCACACGGTCACCAACATCGAAGGGGTGCTTGACAAAGACGAAGACAACTGACTGGAGGAACTCTTGGGCAGTAGCAGAGAACAACCAGGACAGTGCGAGAATAGCAGAGCCCGCGGATGTGAGCACACCGGCGGCTGAGGTGGAGATGAGCGACAAAAATACAATCAGCACAATCACAAACACGAAGAACATGAAGACATTGTCCAATTTCGAGACAACCGAATCCAAATCCTTGAGAGATGCAGTAATGGACTTGCGCTCACGGCCAATGTCAACGCAAACGGCCTCCAGCTCCTCCATGGAAATATCACCATTCATGTCGCGATCAAACATAGCGAAGGCAGCTTCGGCTTCCTCGCCGTCCTCAAATGCGGCTTTCAAGTCACCACCAAAAACGGTCTCAAAGCCATCCCTCAC